GCACCGGGGTGCTGTCCCGCGAGGGACTCAAACTTTTTTCCCGGCAACAGCTTCGAGGATACGTAACCACCGTTCAGATCACTCGATTTGTTCATCGATGAAATGTACTCTTTGATACCGAAACTTCCAATCCGCTTTATATTAAAGCCTTCGTCCTATCCGGACAGAAATTATCTTTGCATCGATGAAATTGAAAATACAAGCGCACAGCGCATTAAGAATTTTCATCGTGAAAATTCACGTGAAAATGAGAGAGAGAGAGATGTGGATATTATATTAAAAATATTATAGAAAGATCCCTATTATGAGATACCGATTTCATTTTCTGTAAATGCTAAAAGTCTATGGGCAAAATTTAAAAAAATAATAGGTCATTTTAAAGGGAATTTAATAAGCTTTAAGATAATGTTATGTAAAATTTAATTCAAGTTCTTACTTAAAGAGATGTAAAAAGAAATGTAACAAGTCGCAAAATTCGAAAAATTATGCTCCTAATATGAGATCCCCAGAGAAATCGATAGTAAAACGCAAAATAAATCGGTATTTCAATTAAAAAACTTGATTTATTGTTTCTAAAATACAAACAAACACAGCCAGCATACGCGCAAAATGAACAAGCATTGTACTCAGGACTCGTTTTCAGATAGTTGAAACCAAGCATCGTAAAAACAGGCAGTCGATATTCATTCTAGTTGTCCTTTTTATTATTGTACAATAACATTCATACTTTAGCAATGATTTTCACTATGGACATAGGTTATTTCATAGAAATAATTTAGATATCTCATATTACGATTTCCACGCCTTTCTGTTTTATGATCAAATTTAACTTCTGTAATTAAGCAATTCAACATATCCCAAATCTTTTTTTAACTTATTAAATAATAAACAAGGTTTAAAAGCTCATCTCAATGAAACTTGAAGTTCTCTTGAAGAACACTAAATTCTAAAATTTTTTTTTACAATGACTATAAGTATGATCTAATTTTCCACTAAATAGTTTTCAATCCAAGAGCAATGAATTCATGGTGGAACCAATAGATAGCGTTTATTAGTTTAGCAGAAACGCCGCTATCTCATATTAGACGCCTATCTCATGATAGGAGCTTTCCTCTACATATAATTTCATTATATTTTTTTATTTCAATATAATGACTTTCTCTAATCACTTTCGCATCGATGAAAAAATTAGAGATATTTATAAATATATAATTAAGATACTTATAAATGTATAATTAACAACAAATAAAAATATACAATGAAAAACGAGCAAGAACTCGGGTAAGAGCCTTGATTCGCAGTAATTGGTGCGCAAATCATATACAAATGTATTTCGATTGTATCTACTGATTTATTACATAAAATAAAGAACTGAACATTTCAAGCCATCTTCAGCAGTCCCCAATCATAGTAAAAATTGTTCACATTCAAATATTCGTAGCGTAGTAGAAATATGTGTGCAATAAGTAAATCTAAAGTTATAAATTATAACTTTAATGTTGAATTTATAATGCATTCAGCGTCGATTTAACGTAATATTTCATAACTTGTTAAATTCGAAAGCTTTTCACTCACAACTCAAATTAAAATTTCATCCAGTATGAGTTACGATGTCCGCGAAACGAAAGTAGCACCTTCAGTTGTAACAAAGTTTCGCTATGTTCAAATTCTGCTAACGCGAAAATGGTATCGCTGTCATATACCTTATAACGTTGCTTATCGACGATGTTAAGTTCACTTGATAGCGCTTAACTGCAAATGATATTTCTCAGACTTAGTGAAATTAGAGTTTAATGTCTTAAACAGAGAGAGATTAGGTAAATCACTTTTTTTCATGTACAGAATAACGAATGTACGAATTAATAAGCAATTACGTAATTGACATAACATCATATTATAGAATAATATTAAGAAAAAAAAAATACTTTACATAGTAATATATAATTTATTGCAGCAAAAATTCTGCTTTCATAATTATTTTAATGGTCCAACAAAATTATTTTCAGATCTGTGCGCTGAAAAAAATTTTGGTCATGTTTGGTCCAATGAATGATCGCGTTAATATAGTTAATTCATTGACATAATAACTGGATTCATTTATATAATTACATATTCATTCTTGAATTCTAGTAATAGTTTTATAACCTAAAATCATTGTGAGAATTCGTTGGGCCAATTTTCATTAATTCAATGAATATTTTATTATATTTACAATATATACAGTTTTGATTCATTGTGTCTAGCTAAATTTTCAGATATTTCAGCAACGTTCTTTCTGTGTGAAATATTAAAAAAGAATATTCGATAACACCATATGAGATTTGCAATATCGCATCTCTCACTGAGATATCATTTTCTACGTCGAAGAACGTTCTTGGCTGATCGTCGCCAAAAACTACTAACGTGCGTCTTCCGAGCGTGTATGCGCGCGCGATCAGAAAGCAGATCGTCGCATTGCCCGGGATAGACATTTCGCGCA